GGTCCTTCGGACCAGGTGAGCTAATAAAACTGGCTAACCAACTTCATGGAACTTTAAATATACCAACAATGTGTTTGGATTGATGTCCATACTTCATAGAAGGTCCCTTTCCGACACCTTCCATAACTTTCATTAATTTCAATCCCAAACACTGATTCTCGTCCCGATGTGTATATAATGTTGATAATATATCAACTTATATTGCTACAAATAGGAAAGTTAGACAGTAAGTGTCTGTTTGTCTTAGTAACAAACCATAGCTGTTTAGTGGGCCATTTTACTGGGGTCAGCTATGCATACAAGAAGCGTGAAATTCTGTGGGCTTCCTCTACTTTAAATGCATCACATTGTGTTTGGACAAGGTGCACCAGTTGTCGTGAATTTACCGGCAACAGATAAAAGTGTTCGAGTTTTGAGTACCAGAACTATATCGGTATTGTAACACACCTACATTTGCTTTGTTTCTTTATCAACATTATGTACAGAATGTAAATCATCAAGTTGTTATGCAATTTATTATTTTCCTCTTTTGGAATTTTAATCAGATAGGACGATCTACTCAAGCATCTATATCAATGTATTCTAACGTATTATTTATTCAATGCGTCCCGTCCGAAGTATGCTGAACTCAAGACTTTTATCATTAATACCTTATCGTGAAAAAAATGCTGCACGAAACTGTTAATCTGATATCAACGTGCACATGTACATGATTATGAATATCAGCGTTTGCCTTTTTTTCATCAATTCAAAGTACCATGTTATTAGAAGTTGTTGATATAATTTTTTGCACTGAACTGATTTTCACATGGATTCACAAGGATATGATCTTTATTGAAAAATGATCTTGCCTGTCTCTTCACTCTTCATTCAAGATTACTTAAATGGTCTCGCGACCATATCCTGTCGAATTTCAGGTTTCGTTAGGCTAGACGTAACCTTGATTTAGAACTTCCGATGATTTTGAACATATTGTATAGTCAGATATGACAGCTAACGTGTTAGACAAAGAAATGTCTACCGACATGTCAACTACGTTTTTGGTGTTTTACCAAACAAAAAACGGAAACAACTCTGTTGTTTGCGTATGATATTGTTAAAATATTCAATGATTGTTTTAATGATTGCAAATGTATAAACAAACGTATGCATTTGGTATATATTTGCGGTAAGTTGTGAATTGTAAGAACACGAAATATAGACATACACATGTATGTTGTACAAATGAAGTATTGTAATTGTATTATGTATTCATAATTTCATCTCATCTCCTGTTGTAGAGCGGTCGCATAAATGATTTGATAATCTGTCATTTAAGCGATCGATAATGCATGTACGACGTCCATTAAAATAGTTAATATTTTATAGAACCCAGAATGTAATCAATTACTACAAATTACATTGTACCTGAATGTTTTTCTCTGGTGTTTGAGTAGTTTAAGATACCTCTGGAAGGGGTGATTGTAATCAAATAAATGATTGTTAAGTATTCTGATGTACCGTCGCAACCATCTTTTGATTGGAATATTTGTATTAAATGCAACTTGCATGCTTACCGGTTGCTTATTGGCAGGTTGGAGAAGTTGGATCGAGCGGTAAAATATCAATATCTATATGGTAAACGCGCCGGGAGGTGTTACGTATGTGTAGCAGTTGGGGTGTTTCTTATGCTTATTGTATTATCATTTTATCAATGAAGATCAGTATTTGCTGTTGGGTTCATCGGTGACATGCATCGGATGTGATCCGGTTACCTCATCAAAGGTTTTGGGGAAGGGGCAGTGGCGTCCGTCGTGAGTCTGTCAACAAGTTCTGGAAACCGAAATAACAGCAAGAGCTGGACACATGCGAAAATGATGGGGAGTCAAAATGTACAAAATAAGGAGCTAATAATAGCCCATCTCTACTTTCCCCCCACCCCACCACAACAACTATATAATGAAAGATGTTGGGAAAATATGTGAATAGAGACTGCAATTTCTGATTATTTCAATATTCTAAAAACGGAAATAAAAATGATCTGAATCATGAGCAGCTAATTTCCAAATACATATTTTAGCGCCGGTGTAAAAAGTGACCCGCGTAGAAAAGTGACCCGGATCTTAGGAAAAGGAAACATCAACCTCTTAAAATGTTTGTTCTCCTTTATTCGAGCATCTAATCCACCCGGCTATCCGCTCAAAGGTCAAGGTCGAAATTACCTTAAAATAGAAGTTTACTGAAAGATCTGGTCATCAAGCTGCATATCTAAATATTTCGATGGATTTTCTTCGGCTCAATTTTGAATAAGACTGGAGTAAGTCAAAAGTTAAGGTAACCGGTATCGATACTACAAATGAAAGCTCAACGGATGTTGTTGGTATCATTTATGGAACTGTATATTTCAATGTTTACTTTACAGAGATTATTATTTTGTTTGTCTTGTATAAATGTTGAATACTTGCTGACAGAAGCAGTTCAGTAAATGGGAGACATTTCACCAAACACATGTATCACATGAAAAGAAGTGTTAAGTAAATTTAATTTAACGAATATTCATGATAAATTTATGACCCTTTAAACGACTGACATGCTAAAATCTCGCATTATGACAGCTCACAATTAACAACAATACGAACGATCTTTAATTTGAACAATATTGGTTATTTATAACGTTCTGACAAGAATAGTATCTCACAGGCCTTGATTGGTAAAGAAAAAGTGTCGGCGAGATAAGAACAGTTTAAAAACACGTTTAAGCCGAAGAAAACAAATGTAAGGTGTGTAATGGCAATTAAGAATCGGGCAATTTGAATGTCATTTATGTTTCCTGGTTCATGAAAACACTATCACGTTAATTACTGACGTGCTAAAACATCCTTCAATGCGTTCAAGAAACAACATTTCAACCAGTTAATCATCATCTTACAATAACGTTATCACATTTACGTGTTACTCAGCACAAAGTGAATAGTATTTTACCACGTCAGCCTTTAGCATGATTGACCATCCAACTGTTCGTTGTCATCATGGACTTTTTACGTAATATACCAAATTTGTTTTAACATGGTCATTTTAAAAGCGACCTAGTGTACATTTAACGGAAATGAATTAAACATGAGTTCTTAAAATACGTTGAAGGGATGATGGTTAATAAGTGGCATTGTTATGAGCAAATTATCTTGTGTAATATGACTATGCAATAAACATCATAACACAACCGTCGACTTACACTACTGTCTTTGCTAGATTTCCATATATGAATAGTGACTTGTAGATTTTCTGATCAAAAATTCTTAACACTTGTGTCAATATAATACGAAATGTATTAAACTCGTTCAATAATTTGATATGCCACTAGGCTAAATGCTCGTGTTATATGCAATTATTGAACTCGTTTGATACATTCAGTAGTACATTGAACGTATTACTAGATCATCCTTTTATTGAAATAGTTCAATAGTTGTGTATGCCTCTTGCCTCTGGGCAAGTGACATATCAAATTATTTAAGGTTTCATAATATCTTAAAAGTTACATTGGCACATTACACATTTCTCTTGTCTGTTAAAAGATAAACAATGTCCTTTAAGCCAAAAGATTTCACCAAATACCTCCCACGGATGTTGCGTCCTTTTGAAGCGGAGACCATGGAATGGCGTCATTGAATATGACGTTACACAAGTGTTAGACTACGTGTAAAATATCTTTTACTACTACCTATTACATAAGCAAGCATGCGAGTTACATATGTACGTTATAGCCAACGTTTTGATACGTTAGCATTTAACGATATAGTTTATCGTGTGTCTGACATGAACGACCGGATCTCTTAATTGTATCTAAGCTGATAAAGATACAAGTACGTTGAACACGTCTGGGTCAAAATCGTTCAAAACGAATCCTCTGCCAATGTCTTATGGGACATCCGAAAAGCTTAATTCAAAGATATTGTGATCGAAGTTTTTAGACATCAGTATACGTTGTTATTGGTGTATTGACCAATGCCGCTTTCAGGGATTCTGACGACGCTACGGACCAGTACATCCTAGGGATGTTTTTCTTTAATCCCACACACGGTTCTCTTTAATACAAAGTGTTCAACACTGAAAGACAGGTGTATAGTGGGCACATACATTTCGCATGTAAATGCTCCTTTGGGAAACATTTTCACTTTGGAGGAAAGGTTTAAATTCCAACCACTTAAATGAGGCTTTCGGTACCACTTTTTCGATCACCACACGATACACGTAAATAACAGTTTGTCAGTCATTGTTCCTTCCTTCTTCGATTTCTCTTTCTGTCCTGTAGTCCTGTAAGTTGTTCGTTCTTTCTCTCCGATTTCGGTTCCTCTGGCAACAAGTACTTTAGAAGCCTTGCTCCATTTACCAGGGTTTTCTAATTTGACACCTTAAACGTTCCCATGTCATGCAATGCTTCAATTGTTTATGACCCTGCCCATGTAGGATCAAGTTTTCCTCCCTTTCTGGTGGCCTTTCTTGAGCTATGTGGCAGTAAGTTGTCACCAACCTTGAATACTGCTTTTTATTTTATTTTTGTCATGATAAAACATTTGTTTTCGTTGTGTGTGCCGTTACAGTTAGTACCGTCATTGCTGTGAATGAAAAAGTCTTAAGGATGGCAGAGTTATTTCCCTTTGTCCATTGTGAACAGCATCTCTATCGGTAGTGTTTATAGAACTCTTCTAGGTAATAAGGCGAAAATGTAGATTTCACGTGCAAGACACACACCATGCGGTCGGCCATTGTACAATATCTTCTTCTTTTCTGGAAGTTTGTGATACCATAATGTAAGTTTTGTACCTTTGTAATGATTAACATGTTATTTTACTGTGTAATTGAGACTGTTATGCTATTGTCATAAAGATGTAAAGATGTTAACCCTGGCATTGTCGCGATAAACATTGCCATATGTGGTTAATTCCGTCAGTTTAGTCAGTCATGTCGACCAATTACATTGTCCATGATAATTCATACAATTCTTGGGTCGAGGTGACCTTTGGCGAATTATTAGTGACATCATTAGGAAGAGTTAATACTGTAATAATTACTGTTAAATATACTAATAGAAGTTCATTTCTATTTGTTGCAGTCCTTTACTTCAATACAACAATAAATTGCCACGCTCTAAAAATGCGGCAGACTTCGGGTTTTTTGTGTATCGCCCAAGGCCGAAACGTGTAGGCACATTGTGCATATTTGATATTCTGAGCTGCCACTTCTCTCGCTTGGGCAAGAGCAACAAATGTATCAATTCTTGACTTTAAAGGGTCTGCGTCAGAGGTTTATGTTGCGACTGCTGGTATATCCAGTTCAATTAGCAATCTGGCCTTTCTGACGTACACCAAAGAGAATGGATCTATCTTCGTTGACACGTGCTCTGATGTTCTTTATGCAAAAAAGCAAACGAAAGTTTAACGTCCATATCATTCTGATTATCATTAACAGTGATACGCACAGAGTTCTGTTGTGTCTTTCGGTTAATCCCCCAGTGTATGAAATGCAGATGCTATTATGTGGTCTATGCCAAACACTTTACAAAAAGTATCATTTATGATATTACAAAACTCGCGGCCCTGACCTGTAATGACAACATGAGGTACACCGTGCGTGCACCCAAACTCCACGAGATGTTTCAGGACTGTTTCTGCTGATTTGTCTTTGATTGGCTTCACATCTATCCATTTCGTCAATTTTTCCGTAAATATCAGAATGTAACGATTTCCTATCAAAACGATATGTGAAAGGGAGGGTTGGCTGGTATGTTTTCACAGTAAAAAAGAAATTGTACCAGGGTCGTTTTTCCATTGTAGAAATTGTACCCGGGTCGTTTTTCCATTTTAGAAAATGTACCCGGGTCATTTTTTCATGTTAGAAAATGTTCCCGGGTTATATTTTCACGGTAGAAAATGTACTCGGGTCGTTTAAAAGACGTTTTTTCGATTGTAGAAAATGTACCCGGGTCGTTATTTCGGACGTATAAAACGTACCCGTGTCGTTTTTTTATTGTAGAAATTGTACCCGGGTGGTTTTACCATTGAAGTTAATATTCCCGGGTTATTTTGTCACGGTAATTAATGTAACCGGGTCTTTTTTTTATTGTAGGAAATGTACCCAGGTCGTTTTTCAATTGTAGAAAATGCACCCGGGTCATTTTGTCATGGTCGAAATTGTACCCCGAACGTTTTTTCATGGTAGAACACGTTTCCGATTTCCGATTGGTGGAGAGTCTGCGACAATTTTCATATATTCCTTACTCATATAATCAACACCTCATTTGACCAAAAAAAGAAGACATAAACGTCGGTGGTGCCGTGCTATACGCAACATTGTTATACTCTATACATTTACGTTTTGTTTATTCAGAGATTGGCTCCATGTTCCACGTGCACGTTACGAATGATGTAAGATACATCTTCCTTCCTGCTAACTACTCTCAAAAGTTTGCCTTTCACCTTTTCGAATAACTTTTGATCTTCGCCTTACAAACAGAACGTTCTGCATTTTTAATTTCGTATTTTCGTTTCAGACTTCCTCATCTTTTTAGGATATTTTCCCCTCTTCAGATATGCTCTTATTTCCTCCGTCGTGACTTCCATTTGTTCTATGTTAAATCTAAAACCATGATATAGCGCGCCAAACAAATTATCACATGCTTTATTGCCTTCTGGCATGTTTTTTTTGCACATTTATATAGCAAGTGTTACACAATCGCCGGCCCGCGCTGTATATATTCGCGAGGTCCCGCGCTGTGACATAATTGCGAAGTGCCATATTGTCAAACCATGTATCTGTATGCAGGGATTTTTTTTATTTTTTTTTTATTTCATCATAGATCCAACGGTGTACAGACTATTTAAAATCTGAACCCACTTGCTTAATGAAATAAAGAAAAATAGGCTGAGGCAAAAATCATAAGAACATATTACATATCATCCTTTCAACTGAAAATCTTTATTTTAAACACTACGCAAAATTCTCTTCCATAATATGACCCTTTCTTGTACCATGGTTTAAGAAACTCCCTTGCAAATTCTTCTAAAGTTCGTTATAGAGGCCATATAATAAAATAACAAAAAGGTCACAGAAAAAGACATTAAGAAACCAGATATTTTTATAACACTCTAATATTAGAACGCAGAGCATTTTTAACTTCATTTCTATACATTATTGTAAGGGGACGGGGTCCAAACTTTCTGGGTCATCTACTTTTTGTCTTAAAAGGTAAAAATCGCATCGCTATACTCGCCAATGCTTTTTATTCATTGTGGAATTTATTTTAACTGCTTCGACTGTTTTTCTATTGAGAACGAATGAATAATACATAAAAGTGATTCAATAATAAAGCATCATTATACACCAACAATGTGCCCAAGATAGTATCAGAGCGCTCCTCAAATTTCATTTATTTTTCGGGGGAGGGGTTGTGTGTGAGGGTGTGTGAGGTTGTGTGTGTGTAACCCGAACAATATACTGGTATTTAGACATAACTTCCAAACATTTTGATTTGGACAGCTCCCTGGATCTTCCTTGAATAAAACTAAGCATTCTGGGCGAAAATTCGTGTTTTTACTTACGTTGGGTCTCACTAGACCAGATTATAGGTACAATTTCAAATTTACATGATGTTACAAAAAAATAATTCCGTAGAAATCTGACCCGGATTTTGGGTCATTTTTCAACGGTTATGGGTCAGTTTCCTACGGATGCCCGGGGATGATTTCTACGTGAAATTTGGACCCGGGTAGGTTTTTACGCGGGTCACTTTTTCATGTTACACCAGACCCAATTAAAGAAAAAACCATACGCCAAATGATCACACTTATCTAGTTCTACTAACATAATTTTCAGCACATCGTCTGTTTGTTTGAGACAGGTAAATATGAAAATAAGGGTTTTCTTTTGTAATTGTTGACACAATATTGAAGATGAGTATGACTTTAATTTAGTATGATTTAACAAGAACTGGTAATACTGGTAAAAAGTCTGTATTAAAACTAGTACAGCTGTTGAATAAAACAAACGTTTAAAAAATTCAAGGTTATAAATTTAACATGCATAACGTACGCATTTTTATGTGTTGTTTCTCGGATACAAATAATAATGGCCGATAGTTGTGTTAAATGTATTTTTTTCCTCACGGGTTAACATAGACATGTGCCTAGCTCAAAGGCCTGATCTGGGACTGACAAATAACATGGTTACAGTGTAATACATATCAAATCATTATCCAGGCAAACCACTGGCTTCCTAATCTCTACACAAAATTTATGTGACAGGTCAGTAGCCAAACTCAGTTTGTGTGAGAAGAGGTCCTGCTCTGTACAATTATGTGCAACATGATATGTCTCATGATAATTATGAATTGACTGTGTGTGTTTATATTTACAAGCTGTGGAAAACAAAAACAATAAACAGACACTATGGTTCAGAATTATAATTTTGATTTTAATGATGTATTTAAATATTTTTTTTATTAATCAATAAACTCCATTCTATTCCCAGTTATTCCCACTTATGTCCCATGTATGGCTGTCCTTTAGGATTTGGGAACAAATTGTTTTTCAAATTGGATTATAATCCTACATTTCAAATACGGAAATACTGTTGGATGAATTTTTGTGATTTCAACTTTGGCTTTGATGTTGATTCACTTGATACATATATGTAACAGTGATTTGTATTTCGAGTTTGGAGTTTATATATTATTCATTGCTTCTGGTAGTGGATTGATTTGTTTTTTTATCTCAATGAATTTGTAAAAATCACTTCTCATTCAGTAGTAAAGGGATTTTGAGTTATTATAGTTGGTCTGGAGCATCAATTGGCCAAGAGGACTAACTTTGTTCAAATGTCTACCTGTGTTTCTTCCTCGGGACAGAGAGGCAGGGCCCAATAAATGAATAATTTAAATTTCTACTCCATAGGGTAAATGGGTGTTGACATAATAAAGTTTGTCTGAAGCATCCTACTTATATCGCTTCTGATTGGTTAAAATGCAAATATTGTGGATTAGTTCAATCAAATTCAGTATGTAGGTGTATTTTGGCAATGAAAAATTCTACCTCTTCAAGATGGCTGTGGTTGCCCGGCATGCGATTGGTTAATATTTTGCAATGTTAGCCGACTTTGTTTATGCTTTATCAATTTGAGAGTCAGATTCGCGATGGCCAAACTGGCTTCTGATTGGCTGATAAATGGCTAAAAGTTAAATTACTAGCTGCGGGGATTACAATGCCATCTTTTGTGGCAAATTATTTTCGACTACAGTGCTAGTTTGGAAGTCACTACATGGGGTTTCGATATCACAAAATAATAGAAACTTTTCTCTTCTTTTCTAAAAATGTGTTTTGTTGAAAAATGTTGGACATTCAGATTAAATTCTAAATCTTAATTGTAACTGCTAGTATTCATGGTAATTAATTAGTATACAGTAATTAAAGTTAAACTGATGCTGGTAATAGCTATTCATGGTGTCAAGTGTTGTGAGTTATCACCTTCCTGTACATATGTGTATTTCTTTTACTTCTATACATAATTTAAGTTTGCAATAAGTCGAATTTTAGTACATAATGTATCTGAAATAATGAGTACAGTACCAGTATAGTTTAATTTAAGTTATTGGTAAAATAAACGATACATATATGGAATATGATTAACAAAGTATAATTGGTACATGTACATAGAATGATGAAATAATTCTCACGAATTTCCAAACATATATTCATACTTGTTTAATTGATAATTAGCAACTTTATTAGTCATTAGGAAAGAAGAAAAAACAATCTACTTCCTCAATCCAAGTTGGCTGGATGCATTTGCTCTATGGGGAACGTCGCTATGCCCAGGTGAAAAGCAGTAGGGGTTCCACAACTGGAGGAACAGGAACATTGTCACTTCTATCAGATAGTACCTATGGCCTAACACTGAATAAGTTAGAGGAGAGGTATTTACCAAATGGAAAGAATTCCAGGGGGAAATAAGGAGAATGGAAACAAAACTTGGCGCCAGCAAAGGAGCGGAGATCCCTCTTGATAACTATCTGACAAATTTTGTGTGTACACAAAAACCAGGCATAGTTTTCTAACAAAGGAAAAGATATGTACAAATACAATTACACATTACACAGGTGGGATTAATTATCAGCCAACTCATAATAGTTGCACATCAATAACTAAATTCAGCGACAAACGACCATATACCGGGTATGATGGTATTATCAAAACCTGATTGACTGCTACGAAAGTTATGAACTTTGGCTTTTTGCATATATAATACTTCAAAAGTTCTTGTCTCATATGCGCCCGAGGAACAAACATGAAAATCATATAATTAAAAGCACAGATATTTTTATAGGTTTATATGGGTTTGCAAGGCAATAATAGAGAGTACTTTGTGAATTCAAAACTTTTAAGCAATCAACATTTCGAACATACATTACATACTAGAACTTGAGGCAAATTATTTACAAACATTGATAACCTTTCAACAACAGATGGTTACGAATCTCAATTAAATATTAACACAACGTTAATTTTGTAAATGTTTATTGAACAAATATGCATAACTGTTTTATGCTTATCAATTTTACGTGCAACATACATTAAGTTACAAAAATGAAATACATGTATTAAATTACAACTGATCAATTTTAATATGAAAAGCATTGCATATTTGTTCTTTGACATTGAAGGCCTCGAGACTGGATCATCGGATTCTGATGGATTTGATTTGCCTGATCCATTTGTGGAATACAGTCTTGTAGCTACGTCGACCTCGCCAAATGTCTTCACTATGGGCAACGTAACTACACCAGCATCACAAGTACCGGTAACACCAACCACAACAATGCCTGTCGTGACACCACCAGTAAGGCCCATCACAACAATTTAACTCCTATCTCTACAATGTCGGCCATAACAGCCCCAACAACACCAGTACTTGTACAGACACCAGCACCAACCCTATGGGCCAATGCTGGGACACCAACAGTAAGTTGTGTTGTGTGTATGTTGTAAATCAAACTGTTACAATAAAAATTCCAAAGAATTATCATGATACAACCAGCAATGGGCCGGTACATCAAATTGCTTTTATATTTAAATTTTGGGTTTCAAGTTACAACAATTACTTAACTGAAAATGTGTGTATGGTTTAATCAAGTCTCTATAAGCTACAACTTTGTTTGGTTTAGGTCTCAATGAGACTTCCAACAGATGGGGATTGTTGAATCTAAACTGATAGACAACGGAGTGCCTTCTTGGTGCCATGTGGACATACGTTTTGCATGGTATGTGCATTGCACCTGGAATCTACCAGCAGATTGTGTGCAATCTGCAGAACAGTCATAACTAAAGTCAACCTTTATACAATTAACTGTTCTTTGGAAAAATTAACCGTATGCCATCTTTGATTGCATATATCTAAATGATGCTAATAGCTACTAGTGACGAGTACATGCCAGTACTGCACTTATACAAGCTAGGTTGAACGTTTCTTTTTCAGTGAAATAACTATTTCTCCTGATGTTTGAGAGCACTGCCGATAGCATCAATATGTTTACATTATCTCAATCTGTATGAATTGTAATAGGTAATAATGGCCCCGAAATGACAACAGATGGCCCCGATTGACTTCTGCAATGTATAAGGCGATTTAACTTCCTGAACAATGTCTGTAGTTCGTAAAATACAATTTGAACTGTGCACGTTCGATTTGTATGCTTGCGAACGTATTCCATTAATTCAGATCTGGATTACATGATGATGACTCTTAATATAAATAGGCATAATTTGATATACCTGGAATGGAAACGAAGTGGTGAATACATATTTCTAATGTGATTGTCTCCATATGTTAACAAAAGCATTTCTTTACATTTCATTCATTAACGAATTGTAATCGGGTAATCCGTCAGTCCAGCTATCCATCTGATTTTTTTGTTTTTGCAGAATACTGATGGAAATAAATGATCATTTTTAAATTAAACACAATGATTTCCCTTTGACCCTAGTTCTGCTTGGTAAGTTTTTGGTCTGTTTGGATTTTAATCAGCCATCTAAGATTTTGACATCAAAATTTTCAAATTTTGTTACTATTTACTGGTAAGAAGTGAATTGAGCAAAGGTCAATGTCATCATATCAAAGGCCAAGGTCAGCTTTTTATTTCTTAGCTAGTAAGCATTTTGTTATGACATTATGAAGCAAAAAAGGTAGCAACTGATCAAAGCTCAAGGTCAGTGGGTCAAAAGTCAAGGTCAAATTTAGCATATCTTAATTAGTAAACAATTTGTAATTACATTATGAAGCAAAGTTCATCAAAATCAAACAAGATGTTACTGACAAAAGATCAAGATCATTGGGTTAAACATTTTGTTATGATATTATATGATTATGAAGCAAAGCTGGTCAGAATTGATAAAAGAAAGTCGTGTGACCAAAGCTATTTCCCATTACTTGAACATTGTTTGAAGTAAATCTGTCCAACATATATCATAATGCAACGCTCAATTTCACTATTATGGCCAGACACATACAAGGCCCCCTTCTGATATGTCAGTGTTTTAGTTTTATATCCCCTCCCGGTAAATATAGCAAATTGTATAATTATATTAATCTATCTAAGTCTATTGTAATATGAAGCTGATGATGAGATATTGTTTTATTATTTTAAATATCTTACCACAGTATATAAATATGGGATTAGACACTTTCCTTGCGTTTTGGACGTTTTGTATTTTATATAAAAATATTTTTTCAGAAATCTGCTTGCAGAATGCAGCGCTTGAACTATTATTATACTGGAACTATTTATACATTATATTGGATCCGATTCTGTGTACGGTGCAGTAACATGTATATTTGTTTTCGATGGCGTGCTTATAAACTACATTTAATTTACTTTATTATTTTGTTATGTTTTGAGATGACAGCAGGTACTGTATCATTTTAAATGATAAAAATAAAACTGTTTGATATCTAGACCTGTGTTGTCATTGTTGTTGTCTATTTATAGAGCTGTACTTAATTTAGATAAATATTTATGGACTTTTCTGTTCTATTTTTAAATATTGAAGTTTATTTATGGCAAGGTACTGCAAAGAAACAACATTTTACAATATAGAATTAGGCAACTAATATGGCAAACCAACTTAGTATGTATTAAAGGAACAATGATTAGTTCTTTATAAGGGAAAAAGAGGTACTGTTTTGTGAGTACCAAAGGTATACCTTATGGATCAAAGAAGTAATATCAACGGTAAAATCCCATGTAACCATGGGTCCTTATCAACGTATGTTTGAGAATTACTTCTTTGTCCCATAAGGTATACCTTAATAAGTACTTTTTAAATCGAAACAAACAAAAAGGGACAAAATAAGAGTGGTATAATGTGCTCAACCCAACAGTACCTCTGACTAAGATATACCTTAAAAGAAACTCAAATGGGTACTTTGAAGAAAAAAACCAGAATCCAAATGAGGACTTTTGAGGTACTTTGAAGAAATCAGAGTCCAACCAAATGGAGGTACTTTATAGGTATACCTCAATCCAGAGGTACTTTTAGGTACTTGATAGGTATACCTCAATCCAGAGGTACTTTTAGGTACTTTATAGATATACCCCAAAGTACCTTTTTGTGCCCGAGATACATTTATGAGGAATAACAACTTTTTTGTTCATGTCAAACATTTGTATATGTCTCTCAAATCCATTAATGAGATATAATATTATACATCGATGCATGTGTCACTTTAAATTTAATCATGTATAATTATAATGAATATAGGACAAACGTCTCGTAAAATGTCAAAAACGGACGGATGTACAGTATTTATATTTGCATAAGCCAATGCCATTTTCCCCATACATATGAGAAAATGCTTCAACTGATACTCTGAAAACGTTATTGCTCGTCAAAAACGCACGCCTTACTCATATTACCGATTCTTCCACTGACAATGACGCTGAACTGTAACAGACTAGATATTCAGTGGATTCCGGCTGATTTTTTTTAAATTATTATTTAATACGTCTAAACACAAAGTTCTATATATTCAATATTGAACAAATAAAAACACAAAGCTTCATGTACTATGCATGAGATACTTTTGATTAAATAGAATGTTTGTTTTGTTAAAATTTACTGAGGTTGTAACCCGTCAAAAAAAAGACAAAATAAAGTTATACCATTTGTATTTCTGCGTTTCTGTTGATACAAGAATTTTTACAAAATTGGTAATTTGATATATAACTTGTAAAACAGTCATATTGAAATACGATAATTATAAGATACATCATTTTAATTACACAAACTATTTATTTCAGTTCTTCAGACTCATATACGTGATCGTAAAAGAATATACAACATTTGAAAAAGTGAAAAAGTGACGTGTTTACAAATTTAAGATTCGTTTTTTTCACATGATAAAGAATTTGGTGAATATTACTAAAACATGTTTTTCCATGTCATTTATCTATATAATCTTTGCTTTATATATTCCTCAATGTTTATGGAGTACATGTACATGATTTTCTACTCTGATCAGGGTTTAATTATGAGGTGCTCAATCCAGATGAGCACGTGTATACTGAATAGATAGATGGCGAAGCCTTATATGATAAATTTGCTTGTGCTCAATTGGAGTTATTACCTCATTATCTGACCAAAATAGAAAAACGCCGTCTTTGATGAATTTACTCGTGCTCAACTGGAGTTGTTTATACAACTATTTTGCCGCTTGTTTGGAAGTCGTATATACTTATGAGACTTTCATAGGACATGTTCATATTTATAATGCAGACTAACGACTTTTTATTGTTGACGATAATTCAATATGGTTGATGCGACATTAACTGTTCGAGGTAAAGTTTGTTATACATAATTACTGTAACTATTCTGAGATTTGATTTGGAGTCATTTTATAGAATACCTTATTTTCAGCGATAAGGGTACATATGTGTAATTCATTAAATTGATTCAAAGTGTCAATTAACTGTCTACATGATACATGGACATGATAACATCAATATTATTACATAGTGTCAAGTAAGGATTCCATTTCTATGAATAGCACTTTTGCGTCATTCGGTGAAGCTGGCAGATCACTCTCATGCAGATTTTGCCCATTGATTAATTCCAATAAATCCCTGAATTCTCGAGAACATCCATATTGGGGGTTCGCCTCAGTATAAGAATCAACAATATCATCAAGAACGGCGATGTTACAGGTAAGATGACATGAGCAATCGCGTGCCCCATATCTAAGTGGCTGGTAAAATATGACATTGGGTATACCAGTTGGAATCTCACTATTTAGCTCAGATATTATCCTGTGAACGTTCCATGTTTCTCGAAACCTGTCCAGATGCATTTGTATGACAGGCAAAAAGCAGAAGCGTATACATTGTATATGTAAATTATCAGCGTTGTTAAATAAATTAAAATCTATCATGTCTTTGAAAATATTCCTCCAGAACTGCGTGAATGATCTATTGAGAAAGCTCCAAACCATCTCGATTCGTTGGTGAGCAGTAGATCTACCCACAATAAAACTATTTTCACCCGACATGTTGTCGTGATGAAATGAACGCAAGGCGACTTGTATGTCACGAATTATAACATTTTCAGACCCTGCATCACTGCGCACCATTCTTGGGATAGCATTCATCTCTTTTAAGCAATCTATGAAATACCTGGCGATAATACGGGGATTGTTATTTGAGGGCCCGGCTTTTAACCAAAGTACCAACACCAAATGGCTTCAACTTGTCATATCCATCGACATGAAAAATAAAACTAGGACCTTGACTGATGTAGCGTCGTCTCCTCAACAGATTTCTACTGCATAGTTCAACCCCTCAAGGATCTATGGCTTTCAACGCTATTCTCACGGTTTCTTACCTAACTTTTATTCCACATTGTGTAATTAAGTGTTTCCACATTGATTTGTACCCTAAGTCAATATGTCCCATGGCATGCTGTTCGATAATTTTGAAAACGATTTCCTCGAGTGGACTCTCTATTCCGTACCGCCTTGCCTTCAATCGTCGCAAAATCTTTTTAACCGTAGTTCTGCTGACTACTATATGATGTACGAATAGTAGAAAACAACAAATATCATGGTAATTAAAGGACATGTTGAAATAATACCGCACCAACTCTTCAGTTCCTCCTGGAAATGGTTCCACTACATGATTGCATGTTAGTAAAGCCATGGTCACATACACATGGATCTGAAATAAAAATGCTGCATAGTAAGACTAGAGAATATGTTATGCAGGTTGGCCTACTATTTTCAGAAATGTGTTATATGTATAAGAAATGTGAGTATTCATGTCTTTCACATAGAATTTGAAAGTGGCACCATTATTGTTCAATTTTGCCACATGCAATTCACCTTTAAATATTCTAAAATTCTTATACCTCACGAGGTTGTATCATGTCATATATATACATGTATAATAAAAACCAGGTGGTCTCTCAGGCTTCTGTAGACAGTTTACCCTTGTGCAAACGAATTTATTTATTTTATATAAAATTATATAACGAGATTAATCAATTCTATATAACATGAACACGAGTGTTGGATTCTATTTATTATACAATTCGAGAAAGACGCCTACAGAATCGTTATCAATACGTCTTCTCTAGATAGCAACGATTGATAAAAAGGGCGCATTGAATTTGTAGCTCGCTGCGCCCCCACAAATAGTGTAGTGTTTGCATTCCGGATCTAATGACCCGGCATTTGGGTTCTATTGTATTGTACTGTGGAGCGTACTTCCGGTACGAGGCATTCTGGAATATACATGTTGACAGGAGCAGTGAGTTTGATTTGTTTGTCCGAGAGACAGTACACTGGCGACAAGAATAAACACACCAAATGGCGAAAGTTTTAAATGTGACGAGTGTAGAAATATTTGATATACATGGAGACCAAACAAGTATCTCACAACGCTGGGAAAAATGGAGTAAAAGCTTTGGATTCTACGTTGCAGGCATTGACAACCTATTTCCAACCCAAGAAAATCATTCCGTTTGAAAGACACGTATTTCGACAGGCAAGTCAAGCAGAAGACGAGTCGACAGATAGTTTCGTCACGAGGCTGAAACGGTTAGCAAAGACCTGTGAGTTTGGGGATTTACACGACGATGAAATTCGGGACCAAGCCATTGAAAAGGGGAACTCATCTAAATTGAGGAGGAATTTGTTGAGGGAACCCGATTTGAAACTTGACAGATTGCTGACCGTTGCCAGGACATGGGAGGCAAGTAACCTACAGGCTGAAAAATTCCAGGTACGAGGTGAGTCACGTGACGAGGTGAGGGCGGTAAAGCACAGATCTAAAGATAAACCGCGCGAAAATCGTCAGTTTGTTGACAAGGGGAAGCACGTGAACAGAAACGAAACGAAACCGACCGGAAATGACATTTCTAAAGGCCAATGCTACCGGTGTGGAAACCTGGGATACATAGCGCGAGAATGTAGGGTTGCGGCAGACAAAACTTGTAATAAATGTCATAGGAAAGGGCATTTCGCCAAGATGTGTCGTACAGATACCGCTAAAGGAAATCAGAAATCCAACCAAGGTGCTCGTGGAGGATTCAGAAATGAAAGGGTCCGTACAGTTCAAGGTGAGTCAGATGATGAATATGTGTTTGTGCTCAACCAAGATGAACAGAATTCAGTTGTTGTCACCATAAACGGCACATCAGTTAACATGCTAATCGATTCGGGTGCTACTCGCAACATTGTAAATAAGGCAGTAGCTAAGAAAATCAGAGACATTACAGTTGTGAAGAGTAATAAAAGATTGTACGCATATGGGGCGGAGGAACCACTTCCTACGGAGGGCATGTTCAGAGGTGTTATCATGCATAGTAATACCCAAGCGCAGGTTGCCGCCGATTTTATTGTCACGACTAAATCTTCTGATGTATCATTGTTAGGACGGCACACGGCAACAAAAATGGGCCTTCTTCATAATGGAGCGGGTAGGGAATCGGTGAAGGTAGTTGCACAACCGCTGCATACTGATGACAAGTTCAAGGAAGAAATCATGAACAAGTATCCTGAATGTTTTGGGACATTGGGAAAATTGAAAGACTTTCAACTCAAACTACATATTGATGAAAACGTGCACCCTGTTGAACAACCTGTACGTAGGTTACCATTCACCGTTAGAAAGGCGGTTGAGGAAAAGTTGACAGAACTTGAAGACAATGATGTCATTGAACGTGTTAGTGGACCGACTCATTGGGTGTCGCCGTTAGTTGTAGTACCAAAATCTAATGGAGAAGTACGTGTTTGTATTGACATGCGTAGAGCTAACGAGGCTGTCGTGCGCGAGAGGCATCCAATACCTATAGTGGACGATGTATTACAGGAGATGAATGGGGCGACATGTTTTAGTATACTTGATTTAAAATGGGGATATCACCAGCTTGAGCTGGAACCAAGGTCGCGGGACATCACAACTTTTGTAGCGCCAGGTGGATTATATCGCTACAAGCGACCGATGTTCGGAATCTCGTCCGCGCCAGAGAAATATCAGCACGTCATACAACAGGTGGTACAGGGATGTAAAGGAGTGCGAAACATCTCAGATGACATAGTTGTTTTTGGAATTGACAGATGCGATCATGACGAGAAACTCCATGCTGTGATGGAGCGATTACGAGAGAAGGGTTGGACGCTGAACAAGAAAAAGTGCAAGTTCAGAATGGATCGCATGGTGTTCATGGGACATGTATTATCAGCACATGGCATTGGACCAGAACAGTCAAAAGTAGAAGCTGTAGAGAACACTCGTGTTCCCGAGGACAAGACAGAATTGACGTCGTTCCTTGGATTGGCAAACTATTGCGCAAAATTCATCGAAGATTTTGCGACTGTCGCAGAACCATTGAGGAGACTTACGAGGAAGGACGTGGTCTGGGGATGGAGTGATGAACAGAAAAAATGCGTTCCAAAAGCTTTAAAGTAGTCTGAGTAGTCCTGAAGTTATGATCAAAACGCTGATACGCGAGTCATCGTTGATGCAGGTCCAGTAGGACTAGGTGCGATAGGTACGACTCCACTTATCGCAGACGATCTGTGAGCAGAAAATCACCAAGGGACAAAATGTTGCAGAAGAATATATTAACTTTGTAGCAGGGCAAGCCGTGCCAAAGTCGATGACGTTACGCGAGATTGACGAGGCGTCTAGAGATGATCAGAAAAATTCTCAGGTCAGACGCAGCGTCATGGATATGAACTTGAACATTGGCGAGGAATTCGTCAAAATCAAAAATAAGTTCGCTGTGGTCGGGAATACTGTAGTGCGTGGGACGCGAATCTTGATGCCCGAGAAATTACGACAAAGGCCATTGGAGTTAGCACACGAGAGTCAGCAGGGGATAGTTAAGACTAAGTCACGACTCCGAGAGAAAGTGTGGTGGCCTGGGATTGATAAAGACATAGAACTGTATGTGAAGTCATGTCACATGTGTCAGGTTATGGGTACAAGTTCTAGGCCAGACCCACTGTACAGGACACCGTTACCACAAGGGCCGTGGGAGGAACTTGCGATAGACCTGTGTGGACCGTTTCCATCAGGTGACCACATGTTAGTTGTCGTCGATTATTAATCCAGGTGGCAAGAAGTGGATATTATGAAATCGCCAACAACTGCGACGGCAATCGCAAGTCTTGACCGTATGTTCGCGACAAATGGAATACCACAGTCGATAAAAAGCGACAACGGACCACAGTTCAGATCAACCGTGTTCAAGGAATACCTTAGAACATTGGGCGTGAAACATAATTTAACTACTCCATATTGACCCCAAGCCAATGGGGAAGTTGAACGACAAAATAGGACATTGTTAAAGGCAATTCGTATTGCCCACGCAGAGCGACGGGATTGGAAAAGGAGATATATGCTTTTCTCATGGCATATCGAAGCACTCCTCATTCCGTCACTGGAGAAAGTCCGGCCAAAATGATGTTTGGACGCGAAATCAGGACAAAGATTCCAGAGTATTCTATGGAAAAAACAGTATCACCAGGACCGGAGTTCGGACGTGACTACAGGATTTCTGCGCAAAATCATGATCGCGATTGGAAAGAGAAAGGTAGGTTTTATACCGATCAAAAAAGGAGAGCAGATCGGAATCGGATACAAGTCGATAATAAAGTTCTCCTCAGTCAGAGGAACGAAAACAAACTTTCGACAAAGTTTCATGTTGATCCATATGATGTTGTTGAGGAAAACGGGTCGTGCATCGCATTGAAAGGAAAAGTCGAAATTCGTCAGAAATGAAGAAATTGATAAATCAGTCGACAGACGCAGCCAAAGAGGTTCTATCTGAAGATATCACTGATGTCGAGGACCAGGATCTAGGTACCAGAATACAGTAGAAATGGCCCGACTCTGATAAACAAGGCACATGTCGAGGAAATGTAAACACAGTGGATTTACCCTACACAACACATGTATACATGTATATATATTTGTAAACTGCATTACATTTACAATACATATAAAGTACTGAGAAGTGTATAAACCTCTTTTTTCTATGTATGTCACTTGTGTGAAAACCATGGTTACCACATCAAAAATTACCAAAAAATGCCAAAAATGGCTAGTTTTGACCCAAAATTTGACCCCCGCAACTAGTGATTTTTTTTCCTAAGTTCTGTATGAAATTAAAGATTACCTTCCTGGTTGCAGAATTATCTGGGTCCCGGTAAAGTTGTAAAACTTGATTTTTTGCAATTTTGCGTCGTGTGCTGTTGTCAAAATTTTGCCTCCTGAAAAGCTAGCTTTTCATGTGTAGGCATCGGATTATGGCCAAAATTTTATCCTCGAACCCAAAAAATCTTCTTTTTTTTTTTTTTACAAATGTGAAGCTCACATAGCCCACTTTATCATGCTTATACCAATTTTAGTACAGTTTTATTTTTATATTTTTTTTTACATATCATTATACAGGGGTTAGCCATTTAACAAAAATATCACCCATGGCCACAACCCTCTACTGTATACTGATACCTTATACATCACTTTCTTTTTCCCAAAATTTAATTAAAACCTTTTAAATGTCTGGAAAATGAGACAATGAACACAACGATGTATCCGTTTCCTTCTCACTTTAATAGTGACCGAGGAATATGAATTCTCCTGACAGGTTTATTTACCAATTCTGCTCTCAAACTACCAACAAAGGGAGGTAATCTGAAAAATGAAAACTTGAATAGGTTTGTAGTTTTCATGAATAAAAGTTATTTTTGAGTGAAATATGATGCTTTGAGATCATGTGCATGTGAAAAACAAACAGTACAGTGATACTATGATGTTACTGTCTTGTTTGATGATGTCATAGTAATTGTGATGTCATCATAACTTTGACGTCATCAATGGGAATCTATGACATCATCGAGGATCACTGATATCAAAAAATTGAACACTAGGAAACCCATCTCAACAACAAACTAGCAACAGACACACTTCCCGTAACCGATGAACAGCACAGAAATGTCAGATATTCTGAAAAATCAGATAAGTGCCACCATAGCAACCGTTATTCACTTTCCTCGCCTAGAATTGACAGTGACCCTCAGAAATTGTTCATTTAACATATTTCGCCAGAAAAGAAATTTTCTTCAGCTGTAATTATGGAAATAAAATTTATTGACATTACTGACTTTGCTTATTTAATCTGTATGCTGAATCAAGTGGAAAAAAACCCATCTAAAATAGTGTAATTAGAAAGAAAACAGATACTTTACCCATTTTCAATAAATACAACTTTATGTATTAGTAACCATGGCTACCGGGTGCTGAACTGAGTGAAACAGACTGAAATCTAGTATGAATGCATCAGGAGATAGCCTGTGAACTATTTGATGTTTGGTATCAACTTTACCAATAACACAATTGACAAATATATGATGAATTGCAGAATTTCACAAGTGCCTGTGAAAAGGGCGAGTTACCCCCCTTTATACATCCACAGGTAATAGGCTATTGACCTATATATTGACCTATCTATGTAACGGTTTTTTTTGGCGTTTTTGAGTAGTTTAAAGCAATAATGAATGAAAGTGAAGCTGAATCAAGCAAAAAAAGGCATTTTTTTCAGAAAACAGAATACAGTAGAAATGGCCCGACTCTGATAAACAAGGCACATATCGAGGAAATGTAAACACAGCGGATTTACCCTACACAACTCATGTATACATGTATATATATTTGTAAACTGCATTACATTTACAATACATATAAAGTACTGAGAAGTGTATAAACCTCTTTTTTCTATGTATGTCACTTGTGTGAAAACCATGGTTACCACATCAAAAATTACCAAAAAATGCCAAAAAATGCTATTTTTGACCCAAAATTTAACCCCCACAACTAGTGATTTTTTTCCTAAGTTCTGCCTGAAATTAAAGATTACCTTCCTGGTTGCAGAATTATCTGGGTCCCAGTAAAGTTGTAAAACTTGATTCTTTGCAATTTTGCGTCGTGTGCAAAATTTTACCTCCTGTAAAGCTAGCTTTTCATGTGTAGGCACCCTTTCGGATTATGGCCAAAATTTTATTCTCGAACCAAAAAAATCTTCTTTTTTTTTTTTACAAATGTGAAGCTCACATAGCCCATTTTATCATGCTTATACCAATTTTAGTACAGTTTTATTTTTATATTTTTTTTTACATGTCGTTATACAGGGGTTAGCCATTTAACAAAAATATCACCCATGGCCACAACCCTCTACTGTATACTGCTACCGCCAATACTGAGGAGGTCAGCGAGAGAAAACGTGCGCGCCAAAATATCTTAGCGATAATTATGTATAAGCGAGTATAATTAGACAAGGATTATTTTTGACAGTTAATAATTAATCCTAATTTTCCTTGTATCGCGACTCGCGAGTGATGGTGTTAGTTATACATTTTATATTTGATGTCGCGAGTGATTTTTGACATTTATTTTGTTTCAGATGACGTGTCGCGGATTAATAATAATGTTGAAATTGTTCTAAATAATGTTTCGGGAAGGTGTTTTATTTCAGGTGCATAGACTTGGCTAAAAAATATTAATATCATGGAAAAAGTGTTAAAAGTAATTCCACTTTGGAAACATTAATGTATTGAAATTCTAAGAAAAGGAGGGATGTACTGTAGTGTTTGCATTCCGGATCTAATGACCCGTCATTTGGGTTCTATTGTATTGTTCTGTGGAGCGTACTTCCGGTACGAGGCATTCTGGAGTATACATGTTGACATGAGCAGTGGGTTTGATTTGTTTGTGCGAGAGACAGTACAAATAGTTCCAGAAACTTCCCCTTAAGAACCTTTTAATTGAACAAATAATCATCTAAATATAATTCTTTTCATCAATTAATTATCTATAATTAAACTGATGTCTAGAGTTTGGATACATCTATAGGTATAAATATATAATATGACTCAGGCATGGCCTGGAGAGAGCGAAGCTCGTACATTTGTTTCGATAGTATAGTATAATTTTTGAATCATAACATTACCCATTTTAATACATACAAAATGTACCTGTATTTTTTTTTATAATATACTTGAATCTGTTGCTGGGCAAAATCATTCATTTTGAAAACAGGCATTGCCTGAAACGAGCGAAGCGTCTAAATGATGTTTTTTTCAATCTTATTTTCTAAATAACATTATTTAAAATAATATCTATTTATTCGTTTTATAGCAATAAAGTAATTAATGTAACATTATTAATGAGTAAAGAAAAACATTCGAATGAACTATGCAGTTCAAGAGAAAACACAAATGCATTTGGTACTGTTGCATTTAATTGCCCCGTCTATGGCCTCAGCGTAATGTGGCGGAAAGAGTGAGGCCCAGTAAAGGGACTTCATATTTGAAGATGTATTGTTTATCAAATATAACTGTTATTATCTGTTATTATAAAAGTTAAGAATATATGGTGATTAAATTCCAATTTTAGAGATATTTTTGAGAATGTGTAGCAAAGCTAAACAGCATTGTAAAAATAGGACCGCGGAAACTCTATACTAGCTACTTCCGTGACGAAGGATTTTGGAAGCATAGCATTTCGACGTTACCATGACTTCAATTGTTCGTACATGTTACCGGAAAAGAGCGGCGCAAGAAGAGCTGCGCTCTTATTATATAAGCAGAAAAAATATCCTTACGGAGGAAGAAATATTATAAAAAAGAAAATTCTCAACAACGAGTCTTTAGCACTTTCATCTCTTCTAGGAGATTCTTCAGACCTTTTTGTTTTTGTTTTCGTGAATATAAATATATATATATATATATACTTTTCACAATTTATATGAACTTTTATTCTGATTTGGATGGCCTGGTTTCTGGATTTGTGTATGGTGAACTGTACTTACATTAATGGGCATGGCTAAATGTCTTGATAACATTTATTGATATGTTTATTGTACTAGATGCATTGCCCTTATAGTTTCGTATGTAGGATAGGACATGGTTATACGCCTTAAGAATTATATAATTACTATGTAATGCGTAATGCTGTAGTTTGTTGACAAGTTCATTTAATACACTTTCATATTATTAAGACTGAGTGGTTATGTTTTTGTTTGTTTTCGTGAACACTGTCTTTTAACCTTTAATCATAATTCTGTCTTCACTTCAGATGGTACGAAGGGATCACATGCCCACCCTTTGGAAGTACCCACCCTTTCCTTTTATTATTTATGTTGGGATTACTTCATTTTGTGTGTCATAGCCATGTATATACATGTTCTATGTATATTGGTATTGCTGGGGTTAAGTGTTCACTCAAATGCTTTAAAGAATGACTGGTGATAGGCGCACGCTTCTCATGTGATCCCTTCGTACCATCTGAAGTGAAGACAGAATTATCATCAAATTTCAACTTACAGGTAAGTCTCATTTAATTCTTTAAGTTTATACACACATGTGCAAAGGAGTTTCACTCTCCGTTTTCCTGGGCAACCTTATAAACATTGTACTTCAAATAATGTCATATCAAATTGCTTTTAAATTCTGATTCATGCTGGTATTGCAAGTGTGAATCGTCTTTGATATCGGGACCCTCATGTTTTAAATTCGCATCAGATTTTAAATTACTTCAAACTCAGAAAGTCCGGGGATCGGGAGATCTATGTATTCTTACTGATCGAACACATGCACGTACTATATGACATAGTTGAATATTTTACTGTAATGCAGTTCTTCATTGCAATCGTTTACAGTAACATGTTATATTTGGTTTATATGGGTTTATGTTCCACTTCCAATTTTGTATGGCCCGCGATGGCCTGCGTTTTCAAAACTAATTAGAGTTAATGACGCGTGCGCAACAAACGTTCCATCAGGCGGCAAATCACATAGAGCAAGGGAGCTAATCAGTCCACATAGGCAGACATGAAAAAATCACAAAATTGTAAATCATTTAACGGTATAAGGTTGGGGTAATTATTTAAATTAAACACTCTGAAAAATAAACATTAGCGATTTTTATAATAAGTCAAAATAACAAAAGTAAACGACTCCAGTTTGAATTAATTATTTCAATTTCCCCATAAGTTCAACAACGTGATTTTAAATTCCCCAGTAGATAATGCGTGCACAGTTACAATGCTTTCATTTTTTTTTTTTACCTCTGGCAATGATAATCGAGATGTTTCTATATACAATAACCAAATATAAAATATAGGGTATCACTAACAATTGCAAACAAGTTGTTGAAATTCAGCAATGTCAATAAGGTTGATAAAAATCAAATTAATCAACGTTGTTTAAACGTCATATTATTTCAACGTTGAAAAAATAACGTTGAATCGACGGTGATTCAACGTTTATCAAGGTCACAACCAAATATCAACTTCATTTCAACGTTGAATAAACGGACTGTGCTTGTTGGGTGTAAGCTGATTAATCAATATTTATTTAAAAAGTTTTTTTCTTTTCATTAGCAGGGATCGAACCATCGACGACGAGGACATTGACACGTGTTAATAAGTACCTTTTGGCTTAACCCACTACAACACCGCATTAGATATAGAATGCCTATTGTTGGTAAATATGTTGACACTTAGAGAACGTATTGCCTTACACAATGGGCTCTTGGTGGTGGTACCAGTGAGGAAGATGGTCAGCTTGCTGGTGGTACCAGTGAGGAAGATGGTCAGGATTATTACACAATAGGCGCTTGGTGGTGGTACCAGTGAGGAAGATGGTCAGGATTATTACATAATTGGCTCTTGGTGGTCGTACCAGTGAAGAAGATGGTCAGGATTATTACACAATGGGCGCTTGGTGGTGGTACCAGTGAGGAAGATGGTCAGCTTGGTGGTGGTATCAGTGAGGAAGATGGTCAGGATTATTACACAATGGGCTCTTAGTGGTCGTACCAGTGAGGAAGATGGTCAGGATTATAACACAATGGACGCTTGATGGTGGTACCAGTGAGGAAGATGGTTAGGATTATTACACAATGGGCACTTGGTGGTGGTACCAGTGAGGAAGATGTTCAGGATTATTACACAATGGGCTCTTAGTGGTGGTACCAGTGAGGAAGATGGTCAGGATTATAACACAATGGACGCTTGATGATGGTACCAGTGAGGAAATGGTCAGGATTATTACACAATGGGCTCTTAATGGTGGTACCAGTGAGGAAGATGGTCAGGATTATTACACCATAGGCGCTTGGTGGTGGTACCAGTGAGGAAGATGGTCAGCTTGGTGGTGGTACCAGTGAGGAAGATGGTCAGGATTATTACATAATGGGCTCTTGGGGGTGGTACCAGTGAGGAAGATGGTCATGATTATTACACAATGGGCGCTTGGTGGTGGTACCAGTGAGGAAGATGTTCAGGATTATTACACAAAGGGCTCTTAGTGGTGGTACCAGTGAGGAAGATGGTCAGGATTATTACATAACGGGCTCTTGGTGGTGGTACCAGTGAGGAAGATAGTCAGCTTGGTGGTGGTACCAGTGAGGAAGATAGTCAGCTTGGTGGTACTACCAGTGAGGAAGATGGTCAGGATTATTACATAACGGGCTCTTGGTGGTGGTACCAGTGAGGAAGATAGTCAGCTTGCTGGTGGTACCAGTGAGGAAGATGGTCAGGATTATTACATAATGGGCTCTTGGGGGTGGTACCAGTGAGGAAGATGGTCATGATTATTACACAATGGGCGCTTGGTGGTGGTACCAGTGAGGAAGATGTTCAGGATTATTACACAAAGGGCTCTTAGTGGTGGTACCAGTGAGGAAGATGGTCAGGATTATTACATAATGGGCTCTTGGTGGGGGAACCAGTGAGGAAGATAGTCAGCTTGGTGGTAGTACCAGTGCGGGAGATGGGCAGGATTATTACATAATGGGCTCTTGGTGGTGGTACCAGTGAGGAAGATGGTCATGATTATTACACAATGGGCGCTTGGTGGTGGTACCAGTGAGGAAGATGGTCAGCTTGCTGGTGGTACCAGTGAGGAAGATGGTCAGGATTATAACACAATGGACGCTTGATGATGGTACCAGTGAGGAAATTGTCAGGATTATTACACAATGGGCTCTTGATGGTGGTCCCAGTGAGGAAGATGGTCAGGATTATTACACAATGGGCGCTTGATGATGGTACCAGTGAGGAAATGGTCAGGATCATTACACAATGGGCTCTTGATGGTGGTACCAGTGAGGAAGATGGTCAGGATTATAACACAATGGACGCTTGATGATGGTACCAGTGAGGAAATTGTCAGGATTATTACACAATGGGCTCTTGATGGTGGTCCCAGTGAGGAAGATGGTCAGGATTATTACACAATGGGCGCTTGATGATGGTACCAGTGAGGAAATGGTCAGGATTATTACACAATGGGCTCTTGGTGGTGGTACCAGTGAGGAAGATGGTCATGATTATTACACAATGGGCGCTTGGTGTTGGTACCAGGAAGGAAGATGGTCAGGATTATTTCTATAGAAGAAACCACAATATTCCTAAATATTAAAACAAGGAAACAGAGCAATGTTTGTCGACTAAGCTGAAGTCTATGAAGGAAACCTAGATTATAATGTGCATGGGACGAACATTTGTAAACTTTTATAATCATACAATGTGAGCAACATATTTATCATTTTCAACAATCCAATAACAGAAGTAAAATTATTGTATGCGCTTAACACTTACAGACTCTATATAAAATTAAACTTTAACTGAAATGAATGCTGACCTCACGTGTTCCTGGGTCAATCATGTAACGTTCTGATCCAGATAAGGATCACGTTGTTCCAAGAATAGTCAACGTGGTGTTGAATTTCAATTTATAATATATTTTATAAAAAATACCTTACATTGCATAGACAGAGGTATAACATATAGCAAGCAACATTACATTCAAAAACTAAAAGAGGTATCTTTATCAATTCTGGAATTCAATGTAACATCACAACGTCTTTTGTAGTGGTAATTCTAGGTTGAGCAGGGATGCATACAGTTATTTGTATAATGTAAATGTTTTTTATTTGACACATATTTGATGGTCGGAAATATGGCTATGTCGCCATGAACAACAATGATATGAATAAGCAAGTATTACTATGCTTATAAGTCTGGAAAGATGTATCTTAAACATCTCGAATAGTTTTCATGAAAACGAAATCGTGCTGCAATAATTGTATCGCTAACGAAACCATGAACCGGTAATACTGTAATAAGCGGATGCATATGTAGACTGTGGAGTTAGGCAACCGCATATACTGTAGTAAGCGGATACATATGTAGACTGTGGAGTTAGGCGCCCTTAAGATACTGTATTATGTGGATACACATATGTAGACTGTGGAGTTAGGCAACCGCAGATACTGTAGTAAGCGGATACATATATAGCCTGTGGAGTTAGGCGCCCTTAAGATACTGTATTAAGTCGATACACATATGTAGACTGTGGAGTTAGGCAACCGCAGATACTGTAGTAAGCGGATACATATATAGACTGTGGAGTTAGGCGCCCTTAAGATACTGTATTAAGTGGATACATATGTAGAGTGTGGAGTTAGGCAAACGCAGATACTGTAGTAAGTGGATACAAATGTAGACTGTGGAGTTAGGCGCCCCGCAGAAACTGTATTAAGCAGATACATATGTAGACTGTGGAGTTAGCCAACCGCAGATACTGTAGTAAGCAGATACATACGTAGACTGTGGAGTTAGGCAAACGAAGATACTGTAGTAAGTGGATACAAATGTAGACTTGGGAATTAGGCCCCCCGCAGAAACTGTATTAAGCAGATACATATCTAGACTTTGGAGTTAGCCAACCGCAGATTCTGTAGTAAGCAGATACATATGTAGACTGTGGAGTTAGGCGCCCCGCAGATACTGTATTAAGCAGATACATATGTAGACTTTGGAGTTAGCCAACCGCAGATACTGTAGTAAGCAGATACATATGTAGACTGAGGAGTTAGGCGCCCTTAAGATACTGTATTAAGTGGATACATATGTAGACTGTGGAGTTAGGCGCCCTTAAGATACTGTATTAAGTGGATACAAATGTAGACTGTAGAGTTAGACACCCCCAAGATACTATAGTAAGCAGATACATATGTAGACTGTGGAGTTAGGCGCCCTTAAGATACTGAAGTAAGCTGATACATATGTTGACTGTGGAGCTAGGCGCCCCGCAGATACTGTAGTAAGCAGATACATATGTAGACTTTGGAGTTAGGCGCCCCGCAGATACTGTAGTAAGCAGATACATATGTAGACTGTGGAGTTAGGCGCCCTTAAGATACTGTATTAAGTGGATACATATGTAGACTGTGGAGTTAGACACCCCCAAGATACTGTATTAAGTGGATACATATGTAGACTGTGGAGTTAGGCAACCGCATATACTGTAGTAAGCGGATACATATGTAGACTGTGGAGTTATGCGCCCGTAAGATATTGTATTAAGTGGATACATATGTAGACTGGGGAGTTAGGCGCCCTTAAGAAACTGTAGTAAGCAGATACATATGTAGACTGTGGAGTTAGGCGCCCCTAAAATACTGTATTAAGTGGATACATATGTAGACTGTAGAGTTAGACACCCCCAATATACTATAGTAAGCAGATACATATGTAGACTGTGGAGTTAGGCGCCCTTAAGAAACTGTAGTAAGCAGATACATATGTAGACTGTGGAGTTAGCCAACCGCAGATACTGTAGTAAGCAGATACGCATGTAGACTGTGGAGTTAGGCGCCCTTAAGATACTGTATTAAGTGGATACATATGTAGACTGTAGAGTTAGACACCCCAAGATGCTATAGTAAGTGGATACATATGTAGACTGTGGAGTTAGGCGCCCCCAAGATACTGTGGTTAGCGGATACATGATTGATTGATTGATTGATATGTTTTACGTCCACTTCACTATCGAGTATTTCGGTTGTCCAGCAGACAAAGAAATGACGTGAAAATGAGAAGAGGGATAAAGTATGGAGTGAAATAATAGAAAAGGGAGACAGAGGAGAGAAGGAGCCGTCTATCATATATGTATTTAATACATAAATCTATTTTTAAAGACGTCTCTAGGCCTAATGTTTGCCTGAACCTAACAATAGTCGTATAGCAGCACCAAGCCTGGACCGGAGGCGAGGTACTGAGCCGCCGCCAGTTACACCAGCTCCTGCCAATCTAAATAATTTTGTTTGGTATATATATTTTTGAAGTCCTTCTAATTGTCTAATAAAGATAGCCTAGTTCTATCGGCCGAAAACAAATCTAACCTTATCCTCTGTGCCGGCGTTAACATGCCTACTCTTTTTCGAAAAAGTTAGGCGCCCCAAGATCCTGTAGTAAGCGGATACATATGTAGACTTTGGAGTTAGGCGCCCTAAGAAACTGTAATAAGCGGATACTGAAGAATGAAAGTATTCTCTGTTAGTCTATATCCACATCATTGTTGAATCAATTTATCAAGAAGACACTGACACGGTTCAACGTTAGATGCTGAAATAGACTCCGGAACCAACTATATTAACATCTGAACATTACGAAATAAAATGGCCAAACAAAAATCGGAACAGAAAAGACACTCATTATTTGTCCTTTGTTTTTACGAAATAATATTAAATGAAATTTGACCTACTTTAAATAAGCACGTGTCATAGTTCGTTATATAAGATAAGCTTATCATGTCTACTGTACGAAACACGGGACCGGAATGCTTATATAAAAGGTATTCCTGTGCCGCAGTCTCTACTCAAACACATCATAACAATGATTCCCCTACTCTTAGCTGTCGTGTTTTCGGTGTCATCAGCCGCCCTAACTGCAGATGGCCAAGGTAGGTCCTATGGTTACGAAATCGCTACATAATTGAAAAGAGCATCGAACAAAACTATTCATCGATTTAATAAAATAGAAGACTATACTTATGATCGATTAAACAGGACATTAATGGCATCAACACTTTGTAACATGGAATTAACTATGTTACCATAGGCAGTGGAAATGGACCGGAAGGTATTGTTTGATTGAAAATTAAGGATATGACATCAGCAATTTTCTGTCCGCCTATGATCTAGGGGCAGGATATCAGCAATTGTCTGCCCGCCTATGATCTAGGGGCAGGATATCAGCAATGTTCTGTCCGCCTATGATCTAGGGGCAGGCTATCAGCAATTTTCTGTCCGCCTATGATCTAGAGGCAGGATATCAGCAATTTTCTTGCCGCCTATATGAAAGTTATCGCCGATTTTGAATTGAAATGTTTCGCCTTTTCTTTACACATATTACACTGTCACTATTTATTGTTTTATGGAAGAGTAGATTATATGAAAATTAATAACGAAAAGAAGTATTCACTGTACTTCCGAGACTAACAGTAGAGTGGCTTTATTGAGACATTAATTTGGATTTCGTACGGAAAAAAATATTCAACGCACTTAAACTAGAATTCTATTTTCCTTGTCAGGTCGCCGAGGATTTCTGATCAATACTATTGCATTTTTCATTAGTCGCACTTGACAACATTGGATTTTTAAGACGAAATCGGTAATTTGCAGAGAATTGACGTCATAACAAGTTTGAAGTAGCTACATCTTTGTTGAAACCAGATCTATACTAGCTATTTCTGTCTATACGTATCTGTTGTAGCCCGATTTATACTTGCTAGAATTGACGTCATAACAAGTTTGAAGTAGTTACATCTTTGTTGAAACCAGATCTATACTAGTTCATTCTGTCTATACGTATCTGTTGTAACCAGGATATATACTAGCTCATTCTGTCTAAACGTCTCTGTTGTAACCAGATATATACTGGCTCATTTTGTCTATACGTCCCTGTTGTAACCAGATATATCAAGCCTTTATCATTCTATGCGTTCCTGTTGTAACCAGATCTAAACTAGCTCATTCTGTATATACTAGCTCATTCTGTCTATACGTCTCTGTTGTTACCAGATCTATACTAGCTCATTCTGTCTATACGTCTCTGTTGTTACCAGATCTATACTAGCTCATTCTGTCTATACGTCTCTGTTGTTACCAGATACATACTAGCTCATTCTGTCTATAAATATCTGTTGTAACCAGATATATACTGGCTCATTTTGTCTATACGTCCCTGTTGTAACCAGATATATCAAGCGTTTATCATTCTATGCGTTCCTGTTGTAACCAGATCTAAACTAGCTCATTCTGTCTATACGTCTCTGTTGTAACCAGATTTACATGTACGTTTGTAACCGTTAAATACTAGTTCATTCTGTCGATACGTCTCTGTTAATACAAGATCTATACTAGCTCATTCTTTCTATACATCCCTAATACAACCAGATATATACTAGCTCATTATGTATATACGTCTCTGTTGTAACCAGATAAATAATAACTCATTCTGTCGATACGTCTCTGTAATTACCAGATCTATACAAGTTCATTCTCTATATACGACTCTGTTGTGATCAGATCTATACAAGTTCATTCTCTATATACGACTCTGTTGTTACCAGATCTATATAAGTTCATTCTCTATATACGACTCCGTTGTTACCAGATCTATTCAAGTTCATTCTCTATATACGACTCCATTGTTACAAGATATATACTAGCTCATTCTGTCGATACGTCTCTGTTGATACCAGATATATAATAGCTCATTCTCTATATACGTCTCTGTTGTTACCAAATTTATACTAGCTCATTCTGTCTATACGTCTCTGTTGATACCAGATCTATACTAGCTCATTCTGTCTATACGACTCTGTTGTTACCAGATTTATACTAGCTCATTCTGTCTATACGTCTCTGTTGTTAGCAGCTATGTAATAGCTCATTCCCTATATACGTCTCTGTTGTTACCAGATATATACAAGTTCATTCTCTATATACGACTCTGGTGTTACCAGATCTATACAAGTTCATTCTGTCTATACGACTCTGTTGTTACCCGATATATACTACCTCATTCTGTCTATACGACTCCGTTGTTACCAGATCTATACAAGTTCATTCTGTCTATACGTCTCTGTTGTTACCAGATACATACTAGCTCATTCTGTCTATACGTCTCTGTTGTTACCAAATCTATACTAGCTCATTCTGTCTTTACGACTCTGTTGTTATCAGATATATACTAGCTCATTCTGTCGTTACGTCTCTGTTGTTACCAGATCTTTACTAGCTCATTCTGTCTATACGACTCTGTTGTTACCAGATATATACAAGTTCATTCTGTATATAAGTCCCTGTTGTTACCAGATACCTACAAGCTCATTCTGCCTATACGTAACTGTTGTTACCAGATCTATACTAGCTCATTCTGTCTATACGTCTAGGTTGTCACCAGATCTATACTAGAACTCATTCTGTCTATACGCCACTATTGTTACCAGATATATACTAGCTCATTCACTGTCTATACGTCTCTGTTGTCACCAGATCTATACTAGCTCATTCTGTCTTTACGACTCTGTTGTTACCAGATCTATACTAGCTCATTCTGTCTATATGTCTCTGTTGTAACCAGATCTATACTAGCTCATTCTGTCTTTACAACTCTGTTGTTACCAGATATATACTAGCTCATTCTGTGCATACGACTCTGTTAATACCGGCCCTTACTAGATTATTCTGTCTTTACGACTCTGTTGTTACCAGATCTATACTAGCTCATTCTGTCTTTACGTCTCTGTTGTTACCAGATCTATACTAGCTCATTCTGTCTATGCGATTATGTTGTTACCAGATCTATACTAGCTCATTTTGTCTATACGTCTCTGTTGTCACCAGATCTATACAAAGCTCATTCTGTCTTTACAACTCTGTTGATACCAGATATATACTAACTCAACCAGATCTATACTAGCGTAGTCTGTCTATACGTCTCTGTTGATACCAGATATATACTACAATGTAACTCATTCTGTCGTTACGTCTCTGTTGTAACCAGATCTATACTATGTCTATACGTCTCTGTTGTCACCTGTTGTAACCAGATCTATACTAGTTCATTCTGTCTATACGTCTCTGTTGTAACCAGATATAGCTCATTCTCTATATACGACTCCGTTGTTACCAGATCTATTCTAGCTCATTTTGTCTATACGTCCCTGTTGTAACCAGATCTAAACTAGCTCATTCTGTTCTGCAATTACCAGATCTATACCAGCTCATTCTGTCTTCACAACTCTGTTGTTACCAGCTATATACTAGCTCATTCTGTGCATACGACTCTGTTAATACCGGCACTTACTAGATTATTCTGTCTATACGACTCCGTTGTTACCAGATCTATTCTAGCTCATTTTGTCTATACGTCCCTGTTGTAACCAGATCTAAACTAGCTCATTCTGTGCATACGACTCTGTTAATACCGGCCCTTACTAGATTATTCTGTCTATACGACTCCGTTGTTACCAGATCTATACCAGCTCATTCTGTCTATGAGATTATGTTGTTACCAGATCTATACTAGCTCATTCTGTCTTTACGTCTCTGTTGTTACCATATCTATACTAGCTCATTCTGTCTATGCGATTATGTTGTTACCAGATTTATACTAGCTCATTTTGTCTTTACGTCTCTGTTGTTACCAGAACATCCTAGCTCATTCTGTCTTTACGTCTCTGTTGTTATCAGATATATACTAGCTCATTCTGTCTATACGTCTCTGTTGTTACCAGATCTAATGTAGCTCATTCTGTCTTTACGTCTCTGTTGTTACCAGAACATACTAGCTCATTCTGTCTTTACGTCTCTGTTGTTACCAGATCTATACTAGCTCATTCTGTCTATACGTCTCTGTTGTTACCAGATCTATACTAGCTAATTCTGTCTATACGTCTCTGTTGTAACCAGATCTATACTAGCTCATTCTGACTATACGTCTCTGTTGTAACCAGATCTATACTAGCTCATTCTGACTATACGTCTCTGTTATTACCAGATAAATACAAGCTCATTCTGTCTATTCGTCTCTGTTGTTACCAGATATATACAAGTGAATTCTCTATATACGTCTCTGTTGTTACCAGATCTATATTAACTCATTCTGTCTATACGTCTCTGTTGTCACCAGATCTATACTAGCTCATTCTGTCTATACGTCTCTGTTGTTACCAGATCTATAGTAACTCATTCTGTCTATACGTCTCTGTTGTAACCAGATCTATACTAGCTCATTCTGACTATACGTCTCTGTTGTAACCAGATCTATACTAGCTCATTCTGTCTTTACGACTCTGTTGTTACCAGATATATACTAACTCATTCTGTCTATACGTCTCTGTTGTTACCAGATCTATACTAACTCATTCTGTCTATACGTCTCTGTTGTTACCAGATATATACTAACTCATTATATCGTTACGTCTCTGTTGTTACCAGATATATACTAGCTCATTCTGTCTATACGTCTCTGTTGTTACCAGATATATACTAACTCATTCTGTCGTCCCTGTCTGTTGTAACCAGATATATACTACAATGTAACTCATTCTGTCGTTACGTCTCTGTTGTAACCAGATCTATACTAGCTCATTCTGTCTATACGACTCTGTTGATACCAGATCTATACTAGCTCATTCTGTCTTAACGACTCTGTTGTTACCAGATATACACTAGCTTATTCTGTCTATACGTCTCTGTTGTTACCAGATATATACTAGCTCATTCTGTCTATACGTCTCTGTTGTTACCAGATATATACCAGCTTATTCTGTCTCTACGACTCTGTTGTTACCTGATATATACCAGCTCATTCTGTCTATACGTCTCTGTTGTTACCAGATATTACTAGCTCTTACAGTCTATATGTCCCTTTTGTAATCAGATTTGACCTAGTTAACTGTCAACAAGTCCCAGTTGTAACCAGATATATACTAGCTTATTCTGTCTATACGTCTCTGTTGTTACCAGATATATACTAGCTCATTCTGTCTATACGTCTCTGTTGTAACCAGATATATACTAGCTTATTCTGTCTCTACGTCTCTGTTGTTACCAGATATATACTAGCTCATTCTGTCTATACGTGTCTGTTGTTACCAGATATACTAGCTCATTCTGTCTATACGTCTGTTGTAACCAGATCTATACAAGTTCATTCTGTCTTTACGACTCTGTTGTGACCAGATATATAATAGCTCATTCTATGTATACCTCTCTGTTGTGACCAGATACATACTAGTTCATTCTGTCTGCATGTCTCTGTTGCTACCAGATATATACGAGCTCATTCTGTCTATACGACTCTGTTGTTACCAGATATATACTAGCTCATTCTGTCTATACGTCTCTGTTGTTACCAGATATATACTAGCTCTTATGGTCTATACGTCCCTTTTATAATCAGATTTAACTTAGATAACTGTCAACAAGTCCCAGTTGTAACCAGATATATACTTGCTCATTATGTCTATACGTCTCTGTTGGTACAAGATATATATTAGATTATTCTGTCTATATGACTATGTTTCAACCAGATATATAATAGCTCATTCTATGTATACCTCTTATTTTGAACCAGATATATAGTAGCACATTCTGTCTACATGTCTCTGTTGTGACCAGATACATACTAGCTCATTCTGTCTATACGTCTCTGATGTTTCCAGATCTATGCCAGTTCATTTCGTATCTATGTCTCTGTTGCCACAAGATATATAATAGCTCATTCTGTCTATATGTCCCTGTTTTTACCAGATCTATACTAACTCATTCTGTCTATATGTCCCTGTTTTTACCAGATCTATACTAGCTCATTCTGTCTATATGTCCCTGTTTTTACCAGATCTATACTAGCTCATTCTGTTTATACGTCCCTGTTTTTACCAGATCTATACTATCTTATTCTGTCTATACGTCCGTGTTTTTACCAGATCTATACTAGCTTATTCTGTCTATACGTCCGTGTTTTTACTAGATCTATACTAGCTTATTCTGTCTATACGTCCGTGTTTTTACCAGATATACTAGCTTATTCTGCCTATACGTCCCTGTTTTTACCAGATATATACTAGCTTATTCTGTCTATACGTCCGTGTTTTTACCAGATCTATACTAGCTTATTCTGTCTATACGTCCGTTTTTTACCAGATCTATACTAGCTTATTCTATCAATAAGTCCCTGTTTTTACCAGATCTATACTAGCTTATTCTGTCTATACGTCCGTGTTTTTACCAGATCTATACTAGCTTATTTTGTCCATACGTCCGTGATTTTACTAGATCTATACTAGCACATTCTGTCTATACGTCCGTGTTTTTACCAGATCTATACTAGCTTATTCTGTCTATACGACACTGTTTTTACCAGATCTATACTAGCTTATTCTGTCTATACGTTCTTGTTGTAACTAGATATATACTAACTCATTCTGTCTCTGTTGTAACTGCATATAGCTAGCTGAACAGAAAGAACGAGTTATGTTTTTTGAGTTACCGTCTTCATCATTTCAGTACAATGAAAATGATATAAATATCCAACGTATCATGACAGTGCGAAACAGCAATAGCGAACTCTATTTAGTGCCTATTTGATATACCACACGTAACTCAAGATAAACACCTTGACTATATTCACATTCATGTAAACTTCTTTCTTTACGTTTGACTTGACGTATAATCGATATCTTTCATATTTTAAACAGATATACCTAGTTTTTCCACTTTTCACAGTCGGCTGTTTCTTTGACGGTCACGTCTACGAGAAGGGTGAAATGGTTATACCCAAGGGATGCCTGTCTGAAATGACCTGTTTAGGTAACAACATATACAGCGAACTTCATCTGCTGGGGTAAGTCAACATTGACCGTCATATGCTCGGTAAGTCACCTGGGACCTTCATTTGCTGAGATAGGACAACTGTGACATTCCTCTGTGAAGGAAAGTCGACTCTGACTTAATATGAGGCTTCGACTGTTGGTGTAAGTCGAGAATGGCATTCATCTGTAGGTGTTAGTTAACCGTGACCTGTGTGTAAGTCGATTGTGATCTTCATCTGTTAGTGTTGGTCGATTGTGACCTTCATCTGCTGAGATAAGCAAGCTGTGACCTTCATCTGTTGGTGTAAGTCGATTATGACCTTCATCTTTTGGTGTAAGTCGACTGTGACCTTCATCTGCTGAGGTAAGTCGACTGTGATCTTCATCTGTTGGTTAAGTGGATTGTGACCTTCGTCTATTGATATAAGTTGACTGTGACCTTCATTTGTTGGTTTAAGTTAACTGTGATCTTCATCTGTGGGTGTTAGTCGATTTTGACCTTCATTTGTGGGTGTAAGTCGACTATGACCATAATACGTTGTTGTTTGTCCACTGTGACCTTCATATACTGAGAAAAGTCAATTGTGATCGTAATCTGCTGAGGAAAATGAAGTGCGATCTTCATCTGTTGGTGTAAGTCGATTGTGATCTTCATCTTCTGAGGTAAGTCGACCATGACCTTCATCTGTTGAGGTTTGTCGACTGTGACATTTATCTGTTGGTGTAATTATAAGTCGATTGTGATTTTCATATACTGAGATAATTCGACTGTGATCTTCATCTGTTGGTGTAAGTCGACTGTGACATTCATCTATTGGTGTAAGGCGAAGCGAAAGTGACCTTCATTTATTGGTGTAAGTCGCCTGTGACCTTCATATGCTGATGATAGTCGAGTGTGACCTTCATCTGTTGGTGGAAGTTAACTGTGATCTTCATCTGTAGGTGTAAGTCCACTGTGACCTTCATATGCTGAGTTAAGTCGACTGTGACCATCATTTGTTTGTTTAAGTCAATTGTGACCTTCATCTGCTTAGGTAAATTAAGTGTGACCTTCAACTGATGGTGTAAGTCGATTGTGACCTTCATATGCTGAATTTATTCGACTGTGACTTTCATCTGTTGGTGTAAGTCGATTGTGACCTTCATCTACTGATGTAAGTCGACTGTAATCTTCATCTGTTAGTGTAAGTCGACTGTGGCATTCATCTGTTGGTGTAGTGACCTTTTATTAGTTTGTGTCATTCGACTGTAACTTTCTTAATGCTGATGTATGCCGATTGTTACCTTCATCTGCTAATGTTTATCAACTGTGACCTTCCTCTGTTGGTGTAAGTCGATTGTGACCTTTATATGTTGGTGTAAGTCGACTGCGGCTTTCATCTTCTATGCAAGTCGACTATGACCTTCATCTGTTGGTGTTAGCCCACTGTGACCTTCATTTGCTGATGAAAGTATATTGTGACCTTCATTTGCTAATGTTAATCAACTGTGACCTTCATCTGTTGGTGTAAGTCGATTGTGACTTTCATATGTAGGTGTTAGTCCACTGTTACCTTTATATGTTTTTGTAAGTCGACTGTGACTTTCATCTTCTGTGTTAAGGCGACTTTGACCTTCATCTTTTGGTGTAAGTTGACTGTGACCTTCATCTGTTGGTATTAGTCCACTGTTACCTTGAAATGCTGAGGAAAGTAAATTGTGACCTTCATCTGCCTATGTCAGGTGACTGTGATCTTCATCTTCTGAGATAAGTCGCCCGTGACCTTCATCTGCTGAGGTTAGTTGATGGTGACATTCATCTCTTTGTGTAAGTCGATTATGACCTTCATTTGTTGGTGTAAGTCGATTGTGACCTTCATCTGCTGATGTAAATCGATTGTGATCTTTATCTGTTAGTCTAAGTCGACTGTGACATTCATCTGTTTGTGTAAGTTGACAGTGACCTTTATTAGTTGGTGCAATTCGACTGTAACCTTCTTAAGCTGATGTAAGTCGATTGCTACCTTCATCTGCTAATTTAAATCAACTGTGACCTTCATCTTTTGGTGTAAGTCGATTGTGACCTTCATCTGTTGGTGTTAGTCCACTGTGACCTTCATCTGTTGGTGTTAGTCCACTGTGACCTTCATTTGTTGGTGTAAGTCGACTGTGACCTTCATCAGTTGGTGTAAGTCGACAGTGACCTTCATCTGTTTTTGTATTTCGACTGTAACCTTCTTATGCTGATGTAAGTCGATTGTTACCTTCATCTGCTAATGTTTATCAACTGTGACCTTCATCTGTTTGTGTAAGTCCATTGTGACTTTCATCTGCTGAGGTTAGTCGACTGTGATCTTCATCTGTTGGTGTGAATCGACTGTGACCTTCATCAGTTGGTGTAAGTCGACAGTGACCTTCATTTGATTTTGTAAGTTGATTGTGACCTTCATCTGTTTGTGTAAGTCCATTGTGATCTTCATATGCCGAGGAAAGTCGATTTAGACCTCCATCTGTTGGTGTACGTTCACTGTGGCCTTCATTGGCTGAGGTTAGTCGACTGTGATCTTCATCTGTTGTTTTAATTCGATTGTGACCTTCATCTGCTGAGGTAAGTCGACTGTGGCCTTCATCTGTTTGTGTAAGTGGACTGTGACCTTCTTCTGTTGATGTAAGTCGACTGTGACCTTCTTCTGTTGATGTAAGTCGACTGTGACCTTCTTTTGCTGGTGGAAGTTAACTTTGATCTTCATCTGTTTGTGTAAGTCCATTGTGGCCTTCATCTGTTGGTGTAAGTCGACTGTGACTTTCATATTCTGAGGAAAGTAAAGTGTGACCTTCATCTGCTTAGGTTAAGCAAGTGTGACAATTTAGTGTCAGTCGATTTTGACCTTCATCTGTTGGTGTAAGTCGATTGTGATCTTCATCTGCTGAGGAGCGTTGACTGATTGAGTATTATCAGTTGTACCACACAGAACTAGCATGGGTTTATTATCTCCAGTAACGTTAGTGGTATCACAGAACGTCATTGGTTAAGTATCATCAGTAACTGTAGTAACAACAATGATACCACACAGATCTATCGAAGAATTCCTCACTATATCTTATTGGTTTTCTTTTAGACAAAACTGAAGCTTATGTTTATCATCAATTATTTACAATTGCCGAAGAAGAGAAAAAGTAACAGATTTATGTGTTATTAGAAAGGTAAGAATTACAGTATGAAAAAGAGGTACATTGACTTTTATCTCCATGGTTCTTAAGCCTTACTTCGAATACAAGCAACTGTTTGATTTTTTGTAGAGGGATCTGTCCGACAGAGAAACGTACCGTAGACGGACAAAGTGAGTAGCACAAATTACATACGGAGTCATTTATTATGTAAGATCACAAATAGTTGTTATATTCAATATTTGAAACGGGTGAAAGACCATACTATACAGTCTGATGACAATTCAGTAAGTAAATACTATAAAGTCTGTGACATGATATTTCAGTGAGACCACATTATAAAG